AAGTGGCTTTTTTGTAGGCCAGCTCATTTCCTGGGGAGCTAGCTACCCAGTCAGCCTCACGCCCTGCCAGCTCCCTGGCCCAAGGAAGGACAGGGTTTCCGACTTGAGGAAGCCTCTCTGACATTGCCAGTTGCTGCCAAGGGCCTTTCTCTGGATCCCTGCAAATGCCTGGGGCAAAGTTTCAAGGGGTGGCATGAAACACCTGGGCAGCCGCGTCTGTTCCACCCAATTAAGGTCAGCCGGGCGCTTATCGTTTATGCAACAAACATTTATTGAGCAGCTACTACGCGCCAGACCCTGTGCTGGGCTCTGGAGCACCAAGAAGCCTGCAGGGTGTGGTGTCTCTGCGGCCTCTGCCTTTCTTTGGGAACAAGACCCCCCTCCCCCCGCCCCCGTGAGAACCGCCCCCTCCCCTTCCTTGCGAAAACACGCCCCCTTCCCTGTGGTCTTGGTAGGGCCGTCAATCATGTGCCCTGCTCCTTCCTGTCCCGCCTCCCATGTGCACGTGACCCAAGCTGGCCAATCAGGGCTTTTTCAGGGACTTGGCGCCTCTGATACCGAGGGAGAGCATCTTGCCTCCTTTTGGATCACGAGCTTTAAACTTAGAGGCTTGTTTGCCTGAGTTGGTCTTTTCCAACACATGAAGCCAGCGTGCCGTTAGAAAGCCAAACTCCGAGGGAAACAGAAGGGAGGGATCGGTAGTAGGGAATGTTCTGGTGATCTTACTTAAGCTCCCGTACATCTAGCCATGCCTGAAACTAGTAGGCTTTTAAGTTTTCAAGAAGATGAGCCAATAAATGCTTTTTGTTTTGTTTTGGTTGCTTCAGCTGATTTGTTTATTGGCACTTTCATTTGAAGGAGTTCTGGGAAGTCAGGGCGTAAATGGCTTATAAATAGAAAAAATTATAAATCTGGTTGCATAATATTTCCAGCGTAAAACTGGGATGAACTGAAGACCGGCTACAGCAAGCAGCAGAATCTACTACCCCGAATGTGGGCAGGTCCCATGTCTTGCTTTGACCAAGGGAATGTGGCCGAAAAGATGGAGAGCAATCTTCAGGCAAGTTCTTAAAAGGCCGTAGAGCTTCTGTTCTGGCCCTCCGGGAAGCCCGGGGCTGCCGTGCTGTAAAGGAGCCCCGGATACTAAACCATGTGCAGAGAGATGCCCAGCAATGCCAGGCGTGCTGGCTGAGGTCCCGGACGTGGAGAAGAGGCCATCCTGGACCACTGGCTGGGCCAAGGGCTGGCTGACTACAGTTGCATGAGCGAAGCCAGGGGACACCAGCCGAAGAACATTCAAGGTCAACCTGTAGATGCTGGGAAGTAATAAACTGCTGGGTTTTTCTGGTGTGTGTGTGCGTGTGTGTGTGTGGGGGGTGGCGGTTTGAGTAGGCTCCACACCCAACATGGCGCTTGAACTCACGACCCTGAGATCAAGGGTCTCAGGGAGACCAGCCAAGGAGCCCAATACATTACTGTTTCAAGCCACTAAGTTTTGTTGTGGCTCGTACACAGCAATAGACAACTGGTGACAGCACCTGAGCCTGGCTTCTTGCCTCTCTGCAACGCTTCCAAAGTCTGGTCCCCAGACACCTGCCACTTGACGTCACAGATTCCCATGCCTAACCAGGACCCCAAGTGGTTCTGCTCCTCACAAACTTGGAAAATTGCTGCAGGCTCAGGCCCTGGAAAGCAAGATAATGCAGGCCTGCCTCTTTCAGGATAATTTCAGGGTTATGTCTATGCAGGGAGACATCAACCTGGCTCCTTCCCAGGGTGGCTTGAATTCACCGGTTCTGGCCCCCATTCCCATTTCATTCTAAACCTCTCTGGTTCTTCAACCAACCCGTCTTTGCCCAGGCCTCGGCATCAGTGCTCACACCTTCCTGCCAGGAGATGTGTGCTCCCCACCTGTGTCCCACCACCTGTGGCTGACCAAGCAGCTACCGTGTGGGAGTCAGGAGTACCAGCTTCCAAGTTAACCCGACCTAGGGTCGAATGCCAGCTCTGCCCCTCACACGGCGTGACCTTGGGCAAGTGACTGAACCTCTCTGAGCTTCAGCTCCCCCATCCGTAAAGTGAGGGGGGTACAATCTCTTTCGAAGACGGTGAAGATTCATGAGCTAGCTGAACGTCAGGTGCACAGGACCCCTCACCTTATCCTGCTGGTCTGAGTCCTGGTCCGCATAAATCTCCCCGGAAGGTCCTGCCTCAGGAATCCCTTCGGCCGCTGACGGTTCTGACAGTTCCACAGCGTTGGTCCACACTAACACACAAGATCAACAGAGAGCGTTACCTTAACACGGTGAGGGTCCCTAAGGTCTGGAAGGCTACTTTCAGACTAACCTCATAGTCTTTTCCCCCGTTACTAGAAAATTACAAAGCGATGTATACGCTCACTGAGCAATGGCAAACACGCATGACAGGAGTATGAGAAAGGGAAAGAGCTGCCTCATCCCAGGTCGCGGTGTTAACCAGGCCAGTTGGCTTTGGTGTGTCTCTTCCTAGGCTTTCTGCTAAGCCACGTAAGAGCTGATGACCTTGGGCAGGCCATTTATTCTCGCCAAGCCTTGGTTATATCACTTACATGTTAGTCTCTGTTATAAAGAGCACTTTGAGGATTCAATGAAGTAATGATGTACCGCAGGGGCTGGCAAACCGCGGACCTAGGGACAACCTGGCCGCCCAGCTGTTTTTGTAAATAAAGTTTTATTGAAACAACAGCTACGGTCATTCACTTATAGAGTGGAGTAGCTGTGACAGAAACCATAGAGCCCACAAAGTCTCAAATATTAACAGAAAAAGTTTCTCTTTACAGAGAAAGTTTCCTACCCCGGAGCATTACCTTAACATTCAGCACTAAATGTCAGCTATTTTTTATTGCAATTATGTCTTTAAAAGAATGGGTTTCTACTGCAGAGATTTTTATCTGGCTCATTTTTTCACCTTACAATGAACGAAAACATCTTCCCACGTCACTATCTATAGCTATGACACATTCCTTTTTCTTTTTTTTAATAGAACTAGGAGTTTGTGCCTTTTAATTCCCTTATACTGTGTTTTTTAAATTATATTTTTAAATGTTTATTTTTTTTTT